TTGATAAATCTGTGAGTTCCAGTGTTAGGTGCATATAAATCTAGGATTGTAATATCTTCTTGTTGGACTGATCCTTCTATCACTATATATGCCCTTATTTGTCCTTTTTTACTGTTGCTTTAAGTCTGTTTTGTCTGATATAAGAGTAGCTGCTCCTGCTCACTTTTGGTTTCCATTTGTGTAGAATATCTTTTTTCACACCTTTACCTTAAGTTTATGAGTCCTTATGTGTTAGGTGACGCTGTTGAAGACAGCAGATATTTGTTTTGTTTTGTTTTTGTTCAATCCATTCTGCCATTCGGTATCTTTTAAGTGGAATATTTGGGCCACTATATTCAACATTAATATTGAGATGTGAGATACTATTCTATTTATCATATTCGTTGTTACCAAGATACTTTGTTTTTTTCATTTTGTTACTGCTTTATAGACCCTGTGAGTTTTATGCTTTCAGGAGGTTCCATTTTGGTCCATATAAAGCTTTTGTTTCAAGATTTAGAACTCCTTTTAGCATTCCTTGTAGTGCTGGTTTGCTAGTGCAAATTCCCTCAGCATTTGCTTGTCAGGAAAAGTCTATTTCTCCTTCATTTCTGAAGCTTAGTTTTGTTGGATATAGAAATTACAAAAGAGAAATTCAGGAATGTGTGACAGAATATATATTTTTTGACTCAACACCACTCAATGAAGGAACAGGTTTTGAGTGTGCTTTAGAATATTGTGTGACATCCTTACATAAGATAATTCTACACTCAAATATCTCAAGGAGCTGGATGTGGTTTAATACTTTGCAAAACTGGATTCAACACAGGCACACACTAAGTGAAATGGAGACACTAGAAATCTTTGGCCAGAGTAGAGCATCGGTTTTCAATCTTTTGTGTGCAGCAGAATCATGGGAGGGCTTTTAAAAACACAGATTGCTGAACCCCACTCCTAGAGTCTGTGATTCAGAAGGGTTGAGTTGAAGCCAGAGCATTTGCATTTCTAACAAGTTCGTCGGTGATGGTAATGCTACTACGCTAAGGACCACACTTTGTTTTTGTTTTCCACCATGCCTGGCCAGTCTACTACATTTCTTTTTTTTAATTGTCTTTGGGTTCTGGGGTACATGTGCACGTCCTGCATCCTGCCAGAACGCTGGGATTACAGGTGGGAACCACTGCACCCACTCCTTTTTCTTTTCTTTTTTTTTTTTTTTTTTTTTTTTTTTTTTTTGAGATGGAGTTTCGCTCTTGTTACCCAGGCTGGAGTGCAATGGCGCGATCTCGGCTCACCGCAACCTCCGCCTCCTGGGTTCAGGCAATTCTCCTGCCTCAGCCTCCTGAGTAGCTGGGATTACAGGCAAGCGCCACCATGCCCAGCTAATTTTTTGTATTTTTAGTAGAGACGGGGTTTCCCCATGTTGACCAGGATGGTCTCGATCTCTTGACCTCGTGATCCACCCACCTCGGCCTCCCAAAGTGCTGGGATTACAGGTGTGAGCCACCGCGCCAGGCCTATTTTCTTAACTGTGTATTTCAAAAGCAAAAAATTTTAATTTAGATGAAATTCAATTAAACTATGTGTGTGTGTTTTACACCTTTGGGGTCTTATCTAAAATCTTTGCCTAACCCAAAATTATGAAGATTTTCTTGTCATTTTCTTCTAAGAGTTTTGTATTAACTTTCATATCTTAATGTTGAGTCTTAATTCATGAACATGTATTTCTTTCCATTTATTAGGTCTTCTTTAATTTCAGCAGTGTTTTGTAGTTTTCAGTGTATAGGTCTTGCACCTATTTTGTTAAATTTATTCCTGGGCATTTTATGTTTTTTGATGCTTTTGTTAAGTAGTTTAATTTTTTCAGTTGTTTGTTGCTAACATACCGACTTTATGTTTCACAACCTTGCTAAATTCATTTATTAGCTCTAGTCGTTTTTCTTAATGAAGCTTCTTTTTTTTTTGAGACAGAGTCTCACTCTGTTGCCAGGCGCCAGGCTGGAGTGCAGTGACATAATCTCGGCCCACTGCAACCTGTGCCTTCCGGGTTCAAGCAATTCTCCTGCCTCAGCCTCCCGAGTAGCTGGTACTACATGTGCACACCACCAAGCCCAGCTAATTTTTGTATTTTTAGTAGAGACGGGGTTTCACCATGTTGGCCAGGATGGTCTCCATCTCTTGACCTCATGTTCCACCCGCTTCGGCCTCCCAAAGTGCTGGGATTACAGGCGTGAGCCACTGCGCCTGGCTTAATGAAAGTTCTTTAGAATTTTCTATGTCATATTATATGCAGATAAACAGTTTTACTTTTTCCTTACCAATCTATATCCCTTTTATCACCTTCTCTTGCTTTATGTCTAGGTCTTCTAGTTTGGTGTTGAATACGAGTTGTGAGACTGGATACACTTGCCTTATTCCCAGTCTTAGTAGGAAAGCAGCCAGGCCTTTTACCAAACAGTATTATTAGCTGTAAGCTTTTACAAAAATAAAATAGATACTCTTTATCAGCTTGATTCCTAGTTTCTTGAGAATTTTTATCATAAATGGATGTTAAATTTTAATAAATGTTTTTTCTGCATCCATTGAGATGATCATCATGTGGGGATTTTTCCTTTTTAGTCTATTAATATAGTGATTAAGTGATTTTAAAATGTTGAGCCAGCCTTGCATTCACAGGATAAACCTCACTTGGCCAGTATGTATAATCTTTTTTATATATTGCTTGATTCGTTAATATTTTGTTTTGAATTTTTTATGTTCATGAGGGATATAAATTCATAATCTACTTTTCTTGTAACTTCTTCATCTGGTTTTAAATGAAGGTAATGCTGACCTCATAAAATGAGTTGCAAGTGTTCCTTGCTTTTATTTTCTAGAAAAGCTGTATTGATATGTTTATTCCATAAATGTTTAGCGATGAAACCATTTGGACCAGGCCGCATCTTGATCACACACAGCTATGCCCATTTATGTATGGTCTTTGGTTGCTTTGTGCTACAATGGCAAGGTTAAGTAGTGTGACAGACTGTATAATCCACAAAGCCCAGACTGTTTACTCTCAGGCCCTTTACAGAAAACGTTTCCTAACCCCTGACCTAGAGTAGTGATTCTCAACCCTGGCCACATACAGGAATCACCTGGAGAATGTTTAAAAAAAAAGTACTGTCTGGATCTCATACCCAGAAATTCTCATTTAATGCGTTTGGGCTGAGACAAGGCCATTGGAAGTTTTAAAACTTCCCCAGGTGATTTGACTTGGCAGGGTTGAGAACCACTGGATGAAAATCCGACCTGGTGTTTGTATTCATTTTACTTCCCACCCCAACACTGATTATTCTAATGGCATTTAGGGTTGAAAATCACTCATCTAAGGCAGTAGTTTTCCAGACTGGACGTGTATCAGTCCCTGGGGAGGGTTTTAGAAATAGATTCTAAGACCCCACTGCAGACCTGCTGAAGCAGAATCTCTAGTACATGAGGCCAGAGATTTTTATCAATTAATATATTTTTATTTTTTAATTCCCCAGATAGTTCCCACATGGAGGGATTTCTTTAAAAGAATGCTGAACCCAGGGCGCCCTATTCTTATTGTGAAGATTTTTGGGCATTGAATGAGTAATTAGATTATTTAGTGAGTATGGAAGTGGAGAAAAGGGATTTAGATGGTTTTGAGGCTGTGGACAATCCCATTGACTAGTCCTCTTCTAATGATGAGAACCTTCATTTCTAGTAGATAAGGTAATCTAACCCCCTTTGTACACTGCTGGATTATAAGGAACATATTTCTTCTTGTCTGACTTCACTTTATCTTGGCTCCATAAAGAACAGTCCTTCCATTAACATTCTTTCTTCAGATAATCAGGTTACATGATGGGAGAGTAGATCTTTTTTTTTTTTTTTCATTTCTGTCTTGAGTCCATATTTCCCCATCCCATCAGCTTGTATGCTTCTCTAGTCTCTTCAACACAACATTTACTAATTGTCTCTTAGGCTAGACACTTTGGAGATGGCAAGTTCATTTGTGCTACATTTTTGCCCTGTGCCACCTCAATCTAATCTGCTGCTATACTTGCTACATCTCAAATAGAGTTTTTGCTCAACTGAGAAACCATCTGTTAACCCTTCAGCTGTATTACACAGTAGCTCTTCAGTTCAGATGAGATGTGTAAAACCATGGAATGTGGAGCTGGAAGAGACTTTATAGACCATCTTGTCTAAGCTCAAAAAAGATAACTATAGGCAGTTTAGTTGGGTACAGTTTTTTGCTAATGTGTTTTCGATGGGTACATTATGCTGCACGGTACAATTCTTGCTTTGGGGCTTATAATCTGTTACTGCAAACCCTAGCTATGAAGAACCTCAGTAGGGTCAAGTCCATTCACGTGTCATGCTGACAGGCACTGAGTAACCACGATCAAGCCAAATGTCTGTGAGACTTACCTTTCTCTTCTGTAAAATGAGGAGAAGAAAGATCTACTTTATAAACTGTAAAATGCTTTTTCTTTTGGTTCGGGAAGAACCTTGGACAGGAAGGAAAACAAAAATGTATCAATCAATCTGAGAATCACTTAGTTGTTACATGGGCCCCAAGCCCAGAAGATATTAGCTAAATTTAAAAGGAATGATCTTGGAAATAAGAAATCCAAATAAGAATTTCTAGTTATTAAATTATGAGTGCTAGCTACTCACTGGCCAAGCAATCATTGATTTCCTTAAAGCCCTAAGCAATGCTATAAAACCGAAGACTGTATCTGCTTTCAAGAGATTACAATGAAGTTAATCATTTAGTTGCACTTTAGGGCATTTGTGTTATTATTTATGGTAACTTAGGAAATGGGAAGTATTAAAGGACCTATGAAAATACTGTAAATCAATTTTATAGTGTATAAGCTGGCATATTTTTCAATTTGTTTGCAAGGCTGGCTAAATGATTGGCATAACAGTGGTTACTCTCATAAGGCTTTAAATATATAGCTTTAAATGATTTTTACAAGTAAAAATAAAATGTTGTAGTCATTTAGTTTAGCTCAACGAACATTTATTGAGGATATAATGAGTAATCAAAGCTTGCCAGGTAGCAGAAACAAACAATTGCAAGTGGATGGGAAATGCTGGGACTGAAATACACACAGAGAGCCACAGAAGCCCTGCAGGGACTGGGGGATAAGGAGGGATGCCAAGAAGGCTGCTACGCGGAAGAAGCAATGTTCTGGCTGAGACCTGAAAGTTTCAATGTAATGTGGGAGGAAGAGCAAATGGAACAGCGTGTGAAAAGACACGGAGGCATGAGACCACATGGTGTTTTTAGAGACCAAGGTGGACCTCAGGATGAGTGTATGGCAGTAAGAAATGAGATGGGAAGGGGTCAAATCATGGGTGGCTTGCTTGTTTGATCCTTTTCCTAGCAGTGACAGCCACTGAAGGATTCACATTTAAAGAGTACAAGATCGGTGTTTTTAAAATGCCCTCATCAGTATTTCTAATTGAACAAGGATGGACAACAGCTGCATAAGAAAGACTAGAGGTAGAATTCTCAGCCGGGGATCATGGAATGCAAATATCCCTTTACTGACACAAGGGACAAGTGTTGGCCCCAAACATTAATTACTTTATACCACTATTAGCTGTTCATTCAGTTTTTTAACTTCGTTAGAGCAATTTTATTTATAATCTATTTTTTCCCAATTACCCATTACATACAGAAATATTATCGCTGCTGTCACTGATGAAACATATTAAGAAAAGTAAAAAATACATATTCTTTAAAGTGCCTCCCTTTTAAGGATTTTGTATCAATGAAACACTGATTGTGGATTTCATGTATAGTCTTCAGAAGTCACATTATATAAGCTCTGACTATCAATAGCAGCTTAATAGGCTCTAGAAAACAAAGCATTACCAAGTATAGGTAAAATTATACATATTTGAAACTTACATCATTAGTTTCCTACCAATGAGTGATTCATCATAATTTTCATTATGCCTTCAAAATCCCTGAGAGAGGCCAGAAACCCATTCTGCTGATAAAGAAACTGAGGTAAAGAGTTTTCTCTTTGGCCTCAGTGTGAGAGCCTGGAATATGTCAGAGAGATTATTGCTTTTGACTTATCAAGTTTCTTGATCCCTCCTTACACCCTTAAGTTTTAATGTTCCTCTTCTAAGTTCAAAAGTGAGGAATACTTGAGATTTGTTTTGTGTATTGCAAGTATATTGCATAATATGTACAAAGTGTTCAAAGTGCATGGTACCATAAGAAGCTAAAGCCAGGAGCTGTCTCTCTGACTGTTCAGTTTGGAAGAAAAGATATGTAAAATTGGTTATCAATGAAGCATTGATTGTGGAATTCATTTACAGTCTTCAGAAATCATAGTATATAATATGTGCATTAATAGATTTTTTTTGTTTGTTTAAATCACAGTCATCTGTCTGAAGCATCTTCACTGGATTCTTCTTGTATAAGAAGTTCATAGCTTCCCTCATTCCAGCTGGTACACTTGACAACACTGTAAAAGCAAACCAGAGATTTTAAAATTGAGATTAAGACAATATCTAAATGAGTAATCTGTTTTCCAACTTTTTTCCCAGTGACATCGCTTTTAATGAATTACGGCAAATTATCAGGAGGAGTATCCTGGCATTTTGAATCCAGCTGACTCATGCATGGTGCTCTGAAAATAATTTTAAAACTACATGATTTTTTTCTCTTCTAGACCCCTAAGATATCCCATCTGTCCCATTGTTAACTCTGCGTAGTCCACATAAAATAGTTATAACTAAAGTCATTACTGAAGTTCCTGTTGAATAGCTATAACTGAAGCTCGGAAGCACGGACATTTGGAGGTAACAAAGCATGTAATTCCGATTTTTAAAATATTAAGCAGTATAGGGATAAAAAGAATCTCAGGAGCCCATCTACATTTACCTCATTATTAAAAGGACAATTGCCTTTTATCTATCTGTTAATAGAATTTATAAATATATGAAGAATAAAATTAGAATTATCCATTATTCTACACACCATGTATGCAATTATTTTCATTCATTTAAATTTTATTTTCCTAATTAAAAAAAAAATCTTTTTTTTTTTCTTTGGCCAGGCACGTTGGCTCACGCCTGTCATCCCAGCACATTGGGAGGCTCAGGCAGGCAGATGACCTGAGGTCAGGAGTTCCAGACCAGCCTGGCCAACATGGTGAAACCCCATCTCTACTAAAAATAAAAAATTATCACGCCTGTAATCCCAGCACTTTGGGAGGCCAAGGCGGGTGGATCACGAGGTCAAGAGATCAAGACCATCCTGGTCAACATGGTGAAACCCCGTCTCTACTAAAAATACAAAAAATCAGCTGGGCATGGTGGCGCGTGCCTGTAATCCCAGCTACTCAAGAGGCTGAGGCAGGAGAATTGCCTGAACCCAGGAGGCAGAGGTTGCAGTGAGCCGAGATCGCGCCATTGCACTCCAGCCTGGGTAACAAGAGCGAAACTCCATCTCAAAAAAAAAAAAAATATATATATATATATATTAGCCAGGTGGTGGTGCACGCCTATAGTCCCAGCTACTTGGGAGGCTGAGGCAGGAGAATGGCTTGAACCTGGGAGGTGGAGGTTGCAGTGAGCCAAGATCGCACCACTGCACTCAGCCTGGGCGATAGAGTGAGACTCTGTTGGAAAAAAAAAATCTTTTTTTTGTAAATATGAGGGTCTCGCTATGTTGCCCAGATTTGTCTTGAACTCCTGGCCTCAAGCAATCCTCCTGCCTCAGCCTCCCAAAGTGTTGGGATTACAGGCATGAGCCACTGTGCCTGGCTACAGTTCTTATTAGTTAAGTCATTTTTTATGCTGTACCATCATTTACTTAAACATTTTCCTACTGTTGGACAGTTTGGTCATTTAAAATTTTTTGTTGTAATTAATGTTTTTATATATCAATTTTTGATAACATTACTGATGATTTCTTTAGAGTATGTTTCTAAAAGGAATTGGTGGATCAATCACTATGAACTTTAAAGAAAAAGCTTCTGATACATTCATGAATTGCTTTATGATATAGCCCAAGAAGCACTATTATCAACAATGTATAAGATCAATTGTCTCATCTGTGCTCACCCACACAGTATGTATTTGTAATGTAGTTAATTCAACAGCTAAATAGTCTCTTTTTAAAAAAGACAACTCGTATAAATAACTTTTCATCAAAATTAGAGGAACCGCAAATACTGTTGTTCTCTGACACAGATGTAGGTATCAGAATTCAATAGAGACAGTAAGTTCCAAGCTCCTACTATAAGACTGAGCCAGCCCTTTAAGGAGTTTGTCATGTTGGCAGGATGCTTAACACCTGTGTTTATAGGTACCTTCCTCCCTAACTCAGAGCCTCACCCCAAAGTGCTTAGGAGAAAGCAGAGAAAGCCTGGCTTCTTGTGCCCCCTTTGCCTTGATTCCCATCACTGTGTCACACTGGCGGCCACCATGCTATGCTATCACCACATGAAATAGAGCTCAGTGGAAACAGATTAATGCATCAGATAAATTTGCTTGGACATCTCAGCAATCACTCATCTAGTTGGCTCACGTTTTTTGTCAAATAGAAAGCAAAAAAGGCATACATATTGCTTTTATCTTTATGCTTCTATCTCTTCATTAAATGTACTATTCATAAATGGGATTTTGTGCTTCTTTAATTTGAATATTTATTTAAACATTTAAACATTAAAGTTTAAACATGTCATTAAAACAAGACAAAGCCATTAAACAAGTCCGCTCTGGAAAGAGAACCCTATAGTCAGCATATCCTATCTGCTTTTGTCATTTATACAAGAATCCGTGTGAAAATCAATCTCCTTTTGACCATCAGGGGATACTGCACTCTGGGAAATCACAGTGTGAAGGTATACATCTCTAATCTTAGATACTGATTTAATCAGTGGTCCGAAGGCAGGGAGTTATAACGAACACAATCTTTCTTTTAATCCTTCATTCATGCCACTCTTGTTCTTCCTAAGTCCCCAAGATTATTGACATATGCTTTTACATCTATTTATTTTATTTGTTTATTTTAATGAGATGGGGGTCTTGCTATGTGGTCCAGGCTGGTCTTAGACACCTGGGCTCAAAATGAGCTTCCCACCTCAGTCTCCTGAGTAGCTGGGACTTCAGGCGTACACCACCATGACTGGTTCTCTTTTTTTTTTTTAATTAAAAAATTTATTTTATTAAAATATGAAGTGCTTCATGAATTTTCTTGTCATCCTTGCACGGGGAGCATGCTAATCTTCACTGTATTGTTCCCATTCTGTATATGTGCTGCTGAAGCGAGCACTTCATGTCTGAAAGTTCTTGAGAAAAGCACATTCTGAGGCAAAATTTCAACAGATCTATGTGATTTTACTGGTGAGGTTAGGGAATTCACTGAATCCCTATGCCCTTTGATAAAATGATTAAAAATCATGACATACCATAGACTGATTGCTGGAAGTAGTAACAGACCAGCAGACAGCAGGAAAGGGAAGCCAGGGTACCAAGCAACAGTGGCTGAGTAAATTCCATTGAAAGTAGAAACCGCAGTGACTCCTCCAAGTGTTTCTAAGAAAGCAATACAAGCAAACAGGGTACCTGTTTGGGGTAGGGATATAGAGGGAGAAAAAGAAAAGGCAGAATTATAAAACAACAAACACAAACTAATGGAGACAATCGTTATTCATGGAAAACAGTAAACATTGGTGAATGAAATGAAAGTTATTCCCCCAAAATCCCTGAGAAGTCAGCTGCCCATTCTACAGCTGAGGAAATGAAGGGAAAGATTCTCCTTGGATCCGATGTGAGAGAGGTTGAAAACTCCAAATAGCCAAGTTCCAGTGTCCACAGGGCAAAGCTAAAAAGACACTGCAGCTGACTCATTTGAAAACTGCCTGTCTCTCCTCTCTGCCACAGCTCCAGGCAAAGCCACACCTACCCCTGCTCTTCAAGATGCTGTCTCCCACCCTCTATCCCTGTACTAATCTGTGTGTGACACCTGAAAGCGCAGGATGGCTCTGAACAAGCACTGCTTCCTGCAAGAGCCTTTTGAAAGGTAAAGAAAACCTTATATGCTCCTCAGTCTGGCAAGAGTGACAGCTGCAGGCAGAGAGGAGATTCTTACCATACATTCTGCAATTGGAATTTTATCCCTCTCTTCAAAGTGACCAAAAAGTTCCATCACCCCTAGATTTTGCATGTTTGACGCATGAAATCAACCATCCTGTGCACTAGTGAAGGTTTATGCCACAGTTTAATATTAAGTGACTCTTTAAAACATACATTTCCACCTTACTGCTTGCAACTGCCTCTGCCTTAAGGTGCCTTACAAGATGAAGAGTGGGAATCCTGCTATGGTCACTTGCTATACACCAAATTTGGTCAAGGGTAGGTAGGCCACTCAGCATCGTTCATAAAGTCTAAAATGACTGCATGGTCAGTAAAAGCTCACAATCAGAGAGAAACAGACATTATTCTACTGATATTTAGTTGTGTCTGGAAGCCAAGACAATGTCAACTGAAGTGTTAAACCTCCAAAAGACGGGCTGGCCACCTTCATGTGCTTTTCTTCCTCTTCGTCAAATTTTGCATCACCAGATTGAATAAAATTTCGTGACCATTTTCAGTCAGATTGACCTGGCTTTCTCGGTGTCAGAAAGCTTCTGCAGCCTTCGTCAACAAGCCACTGAGCTTGTTCCCTACTTTGCCAAGTTTATTTTTCCATGATAAACTGTAACGCATTTTTTTTATTGACAATACAAATCGTGTAAATAATTGTGTTTGCCTGGACTGCTAGGAAGGAAAGGCCAAGCTTGAGGATTACCTCTCAAAATTAGATATGGTTTTTGTTTATATTCTAATTTTCCCTATGGTCTTGATCTTTTAGACTGTGTATTGATTTTTATATTTAAACTTTTTTTTTTTTTTTGAGACGGAGTTTCGCTCTTGTTACCCAGGCTGGAGTGCAATGGCGCGATCTTGGCTCACCGCAACCTCCGCCTCCTGAGTTCAGGCAATTCTCCTGCCTCAGCCTCCTGAGTAGCTGGGATTACAGGCACGCGCCACCATGCCCAGCTGATTTTTTTGTATTTTTAGTAGAGACGGGGTTTCACCATGTTGACCAGGATGGTCTTGATCTCTTGACCTCGTGATCCACCCGCCTCGGCCTCCCAAAGTGCTGGGATTACAGGCGTGAGCCACCGCGCCCGGCCATTTAAACTTTTTCATTTTGTTGTACGTATTCTCATATCTTGCTTCAAATTGTTCATTGAATGATAGGGCATACATTCATAAAACATACACCTATCTCTGCGAAATACTGTGTGCTCACTTACGTGTCCTCTTTTGACTAAAATGAAAGCTTTGTCGCTCTGCCTTGCACATCTGCCTTGCTCACAGCTCTATCCCCAGGGCTCAGCTGTCCTTGTGCATGGCAGACATTTAATAAATATTTGTCAAATGAATGAATAAAAGCTTAACTCAGGATCCCATTTACCAGTCACCAAGTAGCATGCAGACTTACTGCCTCCATGATTTATGATAATACATTAAGTCAGTTTAATTGGAAGGACGTTCTTCTACTTGTCTGACTACATTATTTTCTTTTATTTCTGATCTCTTGCCACGGCCAGGAATAGTGCTATGGGAAACAGGCTGCACAGTACCGGTTCTATTATGTAAGGGTTTTCATCTATTCTTGACGGGAAATAGGTCAGACAGTGCACTATTTGCTCTGATGGAACCATACTATTATGAAGTAGCTTTAGTTCGTTGCTCAGCTTCTCTGAGCATTTCAACTTGTTTAATAAGTTGCCAGATATAAAATAGGATTGAAGGATAAGAACAACTGAATTTATCTTTTAAATCCTGTTTCTTCTTTTTAAATCCCATAGACCTCAAAAATCAAGTCTGTTTTATTGTATCCCAATTTATAATGCCCAAGTAAAATAGTCGAAGGCAGCTTCATCTCTGAGTTCACAGTGGTGCAGAGCACAGAGATTTCAAAATAATTACCAGAATTCCATTTTCTCACCTTTCTTATTTAAGATAATAGAAATAATGACAGGCATCTGAAAACTTTGGCAGTATTTCCCCACTCCTTTGAATATTTAAAGTGTATAATATTTTCACAAAAATTGCCAATTTAAATAATGGTGAAGGATGGGAATACATTTAGTTACAGAAATGTTGACACCAAAAAGATGATTTAGCTTGCATTTAACAACAAAGTAATTTAAATATCCTGGAATAATGAAGTCATAATTCACAGTTACTGTAATTCTGATAAAGAACTGCTAAAAGGTACACTAAACATTTTAAAATATTACTATATTTAACAGTATGATATGATCTTTTTATTTTTATTTTTTGTAGAGACAGAGTCTCCCTCTGTCTCCCAAGCTGCTCTTGAACTCCTGGCCTCAGTGATCCTCCCACCATGGCCTCCCAAAGTGCTGGGATTATAGGTGTGAGCCACCACAGCTGGCAGAGCTGACTTTGTAAAAGCCTTTATAAACTAAACCAAATGTAAACAAAAATAAACTATACATCTTGACAATTCTATTTTTGGTCTAAGTCAAAGCAGGTAAATTTTTTCCCAACAGCTTTATTGAGCTATAATTAATATCCCACAATTTAAAGTCTACAATTCAGTGGTTCTTAGTATATTACAGAGTTTTGCAACCATCTCCACTACCTGTGGAACATTTTCATCACCCCAAAAAGAAACTCTATACCCATAAGTACTCATTCCCTTTCCCCAGCCCCAGTCAAGGCCTAATTTAATTTCTATCTCTATGGATTTGCCTATTCTGAATATTTCATGTAAACAGAATCACATTTATATGACAATATATGACTTTTTGCGACTAGCTTCTTAAACTTGGCATAATCATTTCATAGTTCATCCATGTTATAGCATGTAACAACGATATTTCTTTTTATTGCGGAAGAACAGTTCGCTGGATGGATAAACCACATTTTGTTTACCCATTTGTCAGTTCATGAACATTTGCGTAGGCTTCACTTTTTTGCTGCTGTGAATAAGGCTGCCATGAACAAGATTTTGTGCGGACATATGCTTTCACTTCTCATGGTGTGTAAGTAGGGGAGGGATTGCTGAATCATAAGGTAACTAACTTTCTGAGGAACTGCCAAACTGCTTTGCATGGCAGCTGCACCATTTTACGTTCCCACTAGCAGTGTATGAGGGCTCCAATTTCTCCACATCCTCATCAACACTTGCTATGGCCTATTTTATTTTGGCCAGTGGGTCTCACTCAGTGGTTTTGCTTTGCATTTTGCTAATGGCTAATGATATTGAGGATTTTCATGTGCTTATTGGTCATTTGTATAGCTTCTGTTCAAATCCTTTGCCCATTTTTAAATTGAGTTGCCTTTTTGTTGTTGAATTTTAAGAATTCTTAAATATGCTGGATATGAGTTCCTGATTAGACAAATATAATTTGCAAATATCTTCTCCCATTCTGTGGGTTGTCCGTTGACGTTTCACTTTCTTTCTTTCTTCCCTTTTTTTTTAATTTTTAGTAGAGACGGGGTTTCACCCTGTTGGCCAGGCTGGTCTCGAACTCCTGACCTCAGGTGATCTCCCCCACCTTGGCCTCCCAAAGTGCTGGGATTATAGGTGTGAGCCACCGCGCCTGGCCTCACTTTCTTGGTGTTATCCTTTGAAGCACAAAATTTTTCAAAGGACAAACTTTGAATGAAGTTTTTGGATGAAGTCTAATCAATTTTTTCTTGGTTGTTGTGCTTTTGGTGTCATAGCTAAGAAACTATTGCCTAATCCAAAGAAGCAGATAGATTTGTACATAGTTTACATACATTTTTCTATTCTGTAGCAGTTTTCAAGGTAATCATCATCACATCATTTATAAACAGCTGTGTGAATACATAACTACATCTTATGAGTGAAAAATAAGAGGCTGGGCGCAGTGCCTCACGACTGTAATCCCAGCACTTTGGGAGGCTGAGGTGGGGGAGATCACCTGAGGTCAGTAGTTCAAGACCAGCATGGCCAACATGGTGAAACCCCATCTTTACTAAAACTTCAAAAATTAGCCGAGTGTGGTGGCAGGCACCTGTAATCTCAGCTACTCACGAGGCTGAGGCAGGAGAATTGCTTGGACCCAGGAGGCAGAGGTTGCAGTGAGCCTAGATCATACCACTGCACCCCAGCCTGGGCAACAAGAGCAAAACTCTGTCTCAAAAAAAAAAAAAAGAAAAAGATAAGAAACATATTTTAAAATTTACTGAATTATGTAGTTTTCTCCAGTGTTGACTAAACTGATATAAATACAATAGCATAATTATGAATTATTCATAAGTAATCAAATAAGTACATTCACAGCACCGGGCTAAGAACTGACGTTAAAGGAAGTGCCAATGTCTAGTAAGATTCAGATGATACAAAAGGGAAGGAAGACAACCCCATATGCCTCATATCTAACTAGTAACTAGTTCTCACTGGAAACCCAATTTTTGTCTCTGCTGCATCCTGGTTATTCTCTGCCCACCCTGCCCGCCCCTTCAACTGTTTGACTTTGTGTGCCCTGCTCTGTGCGTGAGAAGCTGGCCCCACAGATTGTATGACTTGGACTTTCTTGCTGGCCCGAGTTCCTGCTGCACTTGGTTAAAAGGATGAAGGAGGAGAGGGGCTATAGTGTTTCTTCTCTGCTTCCTATCTGGGGCATCTCTCTGGCTGCCTTGACGATGCCCGCTCTCTATAATGGCCTTCATGAAAGACTCTTGATGGAACCAGCTGAGTGGGACCCGCCTTTCTGCCAGGACTCTGGGTCAGGCCCAGCTGTGACATTTGTAGAGGCCAGTGTAAGAACATCATTAGAGGCTTATATATTATAATCTAAGGATTTAAGCATTTAAAAGTTGTCAGTTATTTGAAATCTGGCTAACAAGCTATTAACTAAAATATATTCTGTCTTCTTACTGTGAAAAATATCTCTTTTTAATGAATGATCTAGAAGCTAGCACACGTGTAGGATTCTCAGATGTTTTCAGAGTTCCATGTAGGACAGGGTGGCCCAGGGTGAGCTGACCCTCAGCCTTGGTGCCCAGCTGGAGCCCACCCCCATTCTGCTCTATCCCTTGCACCACCCTCTCAGGAAGGGTCATTTGCATGTGGGTGTAGAGGAGCACCCTGCGATTCCACGGTCCAGCCAGACCCTCTTTAAGGAGTCGTCCCTTGGCTTCTTCCTTGGTCTACAGGTGAGCACACTGGGCACAGTCCACCCTCAGGAGAAGGTGGCTGAGGAAGAGGATCATCCAGACCCTCACTGGACATGAGCCCAGAGCTGTCTGGGCTGGGAACTGCAGGGACCCAGGTGGGCAGAGTGCAGTCTAGAAGGAAGGAGACATGGTAAGCTCCCAGCAGGCATCTCCCACTTGGCCCTGAGGTCTCCTTTCTTCCTGGGGTGGGGTAGAGCCAGAGCCAAGCAAGCTGTCTAAAGTACCAGGCCCTAGGCAGGGGCTCCCTTGCAAGAGTGTAAGCCTTTTCCTAAAGCTTACCACTTTCCTGAAAAGGAGATCCAGGCATTAAAAGGGCTGTAGATTATTCTGAAGCATTAAACATTGATTGTACACAGACTTGAGTTGGTACAGATGGTAGATTCACGATAGTTCTTAAATAAATTAAACTTACCTTGTTCAGAAGAATGAACCACTTTTGACAACATGGACCGCAGAACAGAGAACGGCACGATAATGAATAGGAACGGCACCCTGGCTGCGGGAGAACGGATTCAAAATCACTGGCTCATTCTGAAAGCTAACGGCCAGTTTAAAATGGGAAACACTTTCACTCTGTCTAAATATTTCCTTTTCTACAAGCATCCTAACTCATTGCACCTAAAAACTGAATTAATGAATTGTAGAATTCTATCTGATGAATTAAAGTAGACTATGGACAGGTCAGTTTAAGGTTACTTTACTCTAAAATTCTTACTCCAGTACAAAGAACAAGAGTCCATGTAATTTTTAGGTCTAGATCCATTTATATAATCTGCCAATTAAGACTGATCTGCTTATTTTTCTTAACTATGTATTAACCTAATTTGTTTTTGTTTGTGCTTTTTCAGACTTGGCACTCGTAGTGTTAGCATGCCTTTGTTATATTGATGCATTTATTGGTAAACTGGTTATCATCTTGCCTGTTCATCTTTATGGTGGAGTAAGTTTATAAGCATAAATTACCCCTGGTCTTCAATTAGGACCCTTAATAGTCAGTAGTGCTTTTAATTACATCATAAAACAGTTATATATGGCATCAGCAGATGAGTTATCAAAGTGTTTTCACATAGATTAACTTACTTAGCCTTGGCAGCTCTCAGGGAGACGGGGAGAAAAACTGGCCATTATTGAATGGTAGGCATTGTGCTAAGTGACTGCCTGACACCTACCTAACATTCATTGTAACCCTCTAAATTAGGTAGTACAATTAGGTAGTAAATTAGGTAGTAAATGTACAATTGCCCATTTTACAGATGAGAAAATGAGGGCTTAGAGTAGTTCAGTAACATGCCCAAGATCATCTAGTACTCTAGAGGGAAGTTAGGCCCAATTCTGTTGGTCACACTGCTTCCCTGCGAGATAGCAAGGGGTTAACACTTTTATTAGAGTAAAGGGTAAATTGGACCTTTCCCAGAGTCTCATTTTATAGTTCCATAGGCTTTTCCAATGCAGTATCTCATTCGAACCCTGCAAAAACAGTTATGAGGTAGATTGCTAAGGAAGCAGTCTAATTTGCCAACCAGCAATTCATCAAAAACCAGTTCATAAAATGGTCGATTTGCTGAAAGATCAATTTGCAAAACCTGTCTTTAAAAAATTCCTTCTTGAATATATTAAATTGACATAGTTTTTTCTTATAAATACTTTCAGTATACTTTATAGCATTGTCCTAAATATTTTTACGGAAAGTTGTCTTCTTAACAGCATTTTAAGAAATGTTCACTTTAATGAAAGCTACACTGAAGAACTCATTCATAAGAAGAACGTTTTTCAAAACAATTTTGTGGCAAATATGCAAATCTGGGAAATTGTGGTTATTCAGTGAATTAAATTTATTTATTTACATATTTATTTTGAGACAGAGTTTCACTCTTGTTTCCCAGGCTGGAGTGCAATGTGTGATCTCGGCTCACTGCAGCCTCCACCTCCCAGGTTCAAGTGATTCTCCTGCCTCAGCCTCCCCAGTAGCTGGGATTACAGGCATGCACCACCACGCCCAGCTAATTTTGTATTTTTTTTTTAGTAGAGATGGGGTTTTGCCATGTTGGTCAGGCTGGTCTCGAACTCCTGACCTCAGGTGATTCACTTGCCTCAGCCTCCCAAAGTCCTGGGATTACAGGCATGAGCCACCGTCCACGGCCTAGTGAATTAAATTTTTAAAGCAATTTAGCTTTCAGCTTATTGACTCCTGGCAAACTAGCTATTTCCCTTTAATTGAACTAGAATGGCTTAAATAGAGGGCTTTATATTAAAGTTTTCTCCCAACAGACAAATTAATTTCATATGAATATCAAATACATAGTTCTAAAGCTACACTTGGAACTCACCTAAAAACATCATCAGTGTTGTCCTGGCAAACGCAGTCATAGCCATTCCTGTCATAGTGGTAAGAATCCCAATGAAGGCCATATGAATATCCTCCACACAATAAGAAAAAAGCCATATTCCTAGGAAACTAGTGAAAAAAGAGGCACTACCCAAAGCTGATCCATAGCCTATAAAAACTTCATTCCAGCAGAGTGGTGAATCCAATTCATAAAGGATAAAAATTGGGGCAATGCCAATTACCACAAAATAATAAGTGATTATTGTAAAAAGTAACAAACAGAGCAAAACTCGTCTCTTACCAGAAGGATTTTTAAAAAGCATGTAAGTTCGGTAAAATAGGTCTTTGAAGCCTTCACTACATGACATAGTAACATTCTGAGATGAAGACTCTTCAGCGGGATCACCGAGAAAAAATAAAATATAGGCCAAATTAACAGCAAGAGACACCGCAATAATTAGAAAGGACCACAAAAAACCTAGTTCTCTAATAAAATAGCCAGATGACAGTCCTGTTAGACCAGTAACAATTCCAAGCAGAAAGTCAACGATAGCTATTCGAATTGTTTTCTGTTTGTGTTCTTTACACTGATCAACTATATAGGCAAAGCAAGCTCCCCAAAATGTGGTATAATTGCCACAAAATGCACCAATGAAGGTAGATGCAATCAAAAGCTGGAATGGGAGGGCAAAATAGCAAAGCAAACAGAGCCAAACGCTGGTTGCAAGAGCACCAATGGAAGACAAAATCATAGGGAATTTTCGTCCATGGTGATCACTAATAGACAAAAGTATGAATGTAGACACTAGACCAGGAATTAATCCACTTATGTCCATCTGCAGATTAAAACGTGACACTTTTTTCTGAACTTCCTGCAAAGAAATAAAAAGATGACAATGTAGTTTACACAATGCGCGTAAAAATATCATGGTGCACGCTTTTTACCCTGTGGCCAGTAGGGTATGGGTGGGGGAATGGCCCATATGGGATTCCCAGTAGGGAATCTCTGGTGCATGGGCAGGACTAATGGAACTTACATTTTCGTCCAGTACATAACACAAGTACAGACTGAATATCCCTTACCTGAAATGTTTGAGACCAGAAGTGTTTTGGATTTTGGATTTTTTCAGATTTGAGGATATTGGCATGTATATAATGAGATACCTTGTGGACGGGGCTCACATTTAAACACGAAATTCGTATATGTTTCATATATACCTCATACATATAGCCCGAAGGGAATTTTATGTAATATTTTAAATAATTTTGTGCATAAAACGGTTTCCATTGAGAACTTATGTGTGGAAATTTACACTTGTGGCTTCAAAACGGTGATCAAAAAGTTCCAGATTTTGGCCGCCTGTGGTGGCTCATGCCTGTAATCCTCGCACTTTGGGAGGCCAAGGCAGGAGGATCACTTGAGGTCAGGAGTTTGAGACCAGCTTGGCACCAACATGGTGAAACTCTGTCTCTACCAAAAAATACAAAAAAAATTAGCCTTTATTTAGGAAGCGCTTGGCTGTTGCCTTTTTTTTTAACCTCTGTCTCCACAAATAGATTAGTGAGAAACATATTCCTTTATTTACTAAATAAAAGAATTAAAAATAAGATAAAATTGAAAGAGGAGCCTTACACTATGCAGATGGTAGCGTGCCATGGCTGAGTGTGGTGGCTCATGCTTGTAATCCCAGCTCTGTGGGAAGCTGAGGAGCATCTCTTGAGCCCAGAAATTTGAGACCAGACTGGGCAACGTAGCGAGACCCTCTCTCTAAAATAAATTTTAAAAAAATAGGCCGGGTGCGGTGGCTCACACCTATAATCCCAGCACTTTGGGAGGCCAAGGTGGATGGATCACTTGAGGTTAGGAGTTCGACCAGCCTGGGCAACGTGGTGAAACCCCGTCTCTACTAAAAATACAAAAATTAGCCCAGCAAGCTGGCGCATGCCTGTAGTTCCAGCTACTCCGGAGGCTGAGGCAGGAAAATTACTTGAATCCAGAAAGCAGAGGTTGCAGTGAGCTAAGATTGCGCCATTGCACTCCAGCCTGGGTGACAGAGTGAGACTCCATCTCAAATAAATAAAAATATAAAGTAAATAAAGATGGTAGTGTGTCATGACCTGAGGAGTAGGATAAACTAAACTTCCAAGGGCCAAAATGACAATGACAGACGACATACACACAGAGATTGAAAGATGTGTCAATCATTACACTAGTTATTTGATGGAAGGAACTTTGCATGATCTTAAAACATTTTTTGCAGGCCAGGCGCGGTGGCTCACGCCTGTAATCTCAGCACTTTGGGAGGCCGAGGCGGGTGGATCACGAGGTCAAGAGATCGAGACCATCCTGGTCAACATGGTGAAACCCCGTCTCTACTAAAAATACAAAAAATCAGCTGGGCATGGTGGCGCGTGCCTGTAATCCCAGCTACTCAGGAGGCTGAGGCAGGAGAATTGCCTGAACCCAGGAGGCGGAGGTTGTGGTGAGCCGAGATCGCGCCATTGCACTCCAGCCTGGGTAACAAGAGCGAAACTCCATCTCAAAAACAAAACAAAACAAAACATTTTTTGCTTGCCATTTCTCTGCATTTTCCAAAGTTAATATAAAGAGTATGCTGGCTGGGCGTGGTGGCTCACGCCTGTAATCCCAGCATTTAGGAGGCCGAGGAAGGCAGATCACAAGGTCAGGAGATTGAGACCATCTTGGCCAACATGGTGAAACCCTGTGTCTACTAAAATTACAAAAATTAGCCAGGCGTGGTGGCGGGTGTCTGTAATCCCAGCTACTTAGGAGGCTGAGGCAGCAGAATTGCTTGACCCCGGGAGGGAGAGGTTGCAATGAGCCGAGACTGAGCCACTGCACTCCAGTGACAGAGTGAGACTCCACCCCCCCCCAAAAAAAAAACAAAATAAAAACCAGCATTTGCCATTTGTATAATGGGAAATACTAAGCTGATTTTAAAATCAGATTTAAACCTTTTTTAGTCATTGCATGAATCACTGAAGGTGATGGTGGTACCTCCTGGGAAGCAAAAATCTTCCTTTGTCCAAAGGAGCAAACAGAGAGTGGGCCACGACTCCAGCGTGGGTGGCAGGGTGAGGGTAGGGGTGGTTTCTGGTTCCTGGAGGTCTAAGAGCACCAATTTTAAGGGAAGGGACCTAGAGTAGTAGGTTCTCTTCCATATTAATCCAATTAAGAAACAATGAATGAAAAAAATCAATTTGAAAATTTGGCAAAAATCTTTGACATGAGACCACTGCTCTGGACAGTAAGGGTTGAGCTGGGCCAGGCTGGAGGTGGGCCAACACCTGCCACCTGTACAGTTGCAGAAGCCACCAAGCTGGCTGGACCGAGGCCTGTCTCCCCTCACTCCAAAAGGGCAAGAGCAGCAGACTTCCCCAGACATTCTAGTCTTCTCCCAGGTCCCTCCCACTGCAACCAGGGGGCCTGCTCCTAGGGGTCGGCTGAAAGACAGCACAGAATCCAATACAGAAATTGATGAGCTTAATAAGGAGAGGTTTGTTAAAGCCTACAAAACTGCACTAGACAGGAAGAATAAGTTCGTGTTCTACAGCACCATAGGGTGACTACAGTTAACAGTAATACATTATATAGTTTCGAATGGCAAGAAGGAGGATATTGAATGTTCCCAACACAAAGAAATGAGAGATGTTTGAGATGACAGATATGCTAATTAGCCTGATCTGATCACTGTACATTGTATGTATCAAAACGCCACTGTATATGCCATGAATATGTACAATGATTATTTGTCAATTAAAAAAATAAAATAAGGCTGGGCTCGGAGGCTCACGCCTGTAATCTCAACACTTTGAGAGGCCCAGGCAAGAGGCTCACTTAAGACCAGGAGTTCAAGGCCAGCCTGGGAAACATAGCAAGACCCTGTCTCTACAAAAATATTTTAAAAATTAGCTGAGTTTAGTGACAGGTGCCTGTAGTCCCAGCTACTCAGGAGGCTGAGGTGGGAGGATTCCTTGAGCCCAGGAGTTCAAAGTTGCAGTGAGCTATGACTGTACCACTGCACTCCAGCCTGGGCAGCAGAATGAGACCCTGTCTCAAAAAATACCAGGCCGGACGCGGTGGCTCACGCCTGTAATCCCAGCACTTTGGGAGGCCGAGGCGGGTGGATCACGA